TTGTTTGAGCAAAATCGGACTAGTGGTTCTCGAGTTATGTCAAAAAAAAGACCACCAAAGGTGACAATTTCCCCTATATGATAGTTACTAACTTCAAATCGATATATCTCGATTCCTAGACGTGGCCTAGCGAAACGCCGGGACACGTATAACTTCTTTTTTACCGATATAACTTTCCCCGGTAGTTTGAACCCTTCCCGATCACTGACCCCTACCATTTGTCTCACAGTGTAATCAACTACAAACGATTCTGGACCAGAATTCATTAAAATTTAGGCGGTAGCTGTAAAAAGCTTCATATGATTTTTTTTTTAAAACGCATTACGCACTTATTTTTCAACTAAAAAAAAAAATAAAACTACAATCAACTACAAACGATTTTGGACCAGAATTCATTAAAATTTAGGCGGTAGCTGTAAAAAGCTTCATATAAATTAAAAAAAAAACGCACAACGCTCTTATTTTTAAACTAAAAAAATTTTAAAACTACAATCAAGTACAAACGATTCTGGACCAGAATTCATTAAAATTGAAGCTGTAGCTGTTAAAAGCTTCATATAAATAAAAAAAACGCATTACGCACTTATTTTTCAACAACAAAAAAAAAAATGTTTAAAACTACAATCAACTACAAACGATTCTGGACCAGAATTCATTAAAATTTAGGCGATAGCTGTAAGAAGCTTCATATAAATTAAAAAAAATTCGCGCTACGCACTTATTTTTCAACTAAAAAAAATAAATTTTAAAACTACAACCCACTACAAACGATTCTGGACCTGAATTCTTTAAAATTGAAGCTGTAGCTGTAAAATGCTTCATATGAATTTTTTACAAAACGCATTACGCACTTATTTTTCAACTAAAAAAAATAAATTTTAAAACTACAACCCACTACAAACGATTCTGGACCTGAATTCTTTAAAATTGAAGCTGTAGCTGTAAAATGCTTCATATGAATTTTTTACAAAACGCATTACGCACTTATTTTTCAACTAAAAAAAAATTTAAAACTACAATCAAATACAAACGATTCTGGACCTGAATTCATTCAAATTGCAGCTGTAGCTGTAAAAAGCTTCCTATGAATTTTTTAAAAAACGCATTACGCCCTTCTTTTTCAACTAAAAAAAATTTTTAAACTGCAATCAACTACAAACGTTTCTGGACCTGAATTCATTAAAATTGAAGCTGTAGCTGTAAAAAGCTTCCTATGAATTTTTTAAAAAACGCATTACGCCCTTCTTTTTCAACTAAAAAAAATTTTTAAACTGCAATCAACTACAAACGTTTCTGGACCTGAATTCATTAAAATTGAAGCTGTAGCTGTAAAAAGCTTCCTATGAATTTTTTAAAAAACGCATTACGCCCTTCTTTTTCAACTAAAAAAAATTTTTAAACTGCAATCAACTACAAACGTTTCTGGACCTGAATTCATTAAAATTGAAGCTGTAGTTGTAAAAAGCTTCACATAAATTAAAAAAACCCAATTACGCACTTAGTTTTCAACTAAAAAAAATGTTAAAACTACAATCAACTACAAACGATTCTGGACCAGAATTCATTAAAGTTTAGGCGGTAGCTGTAAAAAGCTTCACATAAATTTAAAAAAAAACGCGCTACGCACTTATTTTTCAACTAAAAAAAAATTTAAA